CTTTTGTGAACCACACGTGTCACGGGAGTTTCTCTGTCGAACGGGGCAAACCTTACAAGGAAGACTGGGACTATGCTTTATTGAGATAGGCTATAATAACAGAAGCCTATCTCAATAGGCCTTACATTGTATTTTCTCTCTCCTCTTTCTTATATCCCAGTGAATCAGGGTGGAGCCTGCCTGCGTCTCTTCTGAATACTACCTTGTTTCCCAGGACTTACTGGAATGTTTCAGCCCTCTTTGGTTATATAACGGTTCTTGCGTATTTCCTTCAAGATAATCTCCTTGATTCTCTATAGGCTGCTGTAAGGATTATTTGAGGCATTTGTCACATAAAGTCACTTGAATTCACTGTGAGCTAGATTGGAACTGTCCAGGGTCCTGTTGAGTTGTTTGAGCTACAGCCTGGTATGGTTATCTGAGAAGAATTTGAATTTGTTATTCCCAGGGAAGTGAACAGGGTCCTCAAAGCTGTGAATATGGCCACCTGTTCATTGGATTCATGTCCCTTCTGGGTGGTTAAGGCCTCCTGGGAGGTGATATGTGGTTGGATCTACGAAATCCTGAATTCATCTTTAAGTGAAAGCATGGTTTTGCCTGTGTTTAAGAACATGGAGGTCCATATCTGCCTCAAGAAGCCAACACTAATTCCAATGGTGTTGGACAATCTTCAACAAGATTGGTCCCATCTCCAGTCTTCCAGTCCTGGGGAAGGTTGTTGAGAAAGTGGTCAAGCTTCAGCTTCAGAGGACCCTGGAAGGGACAGATTATTTTCCAGTTGGGTTTCAGGCCTGGGCACAGTATTGAGATGGCCATCATTGTGTTTATGGATGATGGTGGGATCAGGATGGAGGTGGTACACAGTGTTGCAGTGCTCCTCCTTCCTCCAGGGCCAATTCCAGGCAGTTTTGATGGGGGTAGGGAAGGTTTAGCTTTTTCTCCTTGTTTTGTGGGGTACCTCAAGGCTCGATTTTCTTCTCACTCTTGTTTAACATTAAGCTTACTAATGGATGAGGTCATCCTTCAGCATGGAGATAGGTATCATCAGTATGCTGATGATACTAGGGTATATATCTCAATTCTTGGTCAGCCAAGGAAAGCTGTTGAGGTTCTACATCAGTGTCTGGAGACTAGTGAGGGTCTGGCTCAATCTTAGCAAGACTTAGTGGCTGTGAATTTTGGAACTGCCTGGATCTGGATATTTTCCATCTTGATTTTGGATGGGATTGCATTGCCCTAGACAGACCCAGTGTACAATTCTGGGAACCTCCTAGGCTCACAGCTCCTCCTTGATGTACCTTTGAACAAATCCTTCTTGTTTACCAATTGTACCCATTTCTGGATCGGAAGGCCCAGAGTCACTCATGCCTTGGTCACATCTTGTCTGGATTATTGCAACATACTCTATACAGTTTTGTCCTTGAAGACCATTTGAAAGATACATCTGTTCAGAATTCAGTGGCACAAGTAGTTATGGATGCATCTCAGTATGCTTATATAGCACCACTACTTTGCAAGCAGTAGTGTTTGCCAATGGGCTTCCAGGTTAAATTCAAGGTATTGCTTGTCACCTATGAAGCTCTTCATAGTACAGGGCCTGGCAATCTGTGGGGCCATTTGTCTTAAATTACCACTGCCTATCTGATAAGACTTGATAGGGTTGGTATGCACTGGTCCTATCACTCAGGCAGTGTCATCTGATGGGACCCAGGAAATGTGACGGTAATGAACACTGCCTGCCATAGAGAGGTGTTAACATTTCCTTTATCTTATTCCAATATACTTGGGGTTGCATTTGAAAATGGCCCAGAAAATTTAACTGTGACAGAACAGGGGAACTGGACTGCTAATATGGATTGGTCAGTACTTTTGCATCTGTTCTGAATGCCTATCCATTTCTAGACTCAATTCAAGGTACCAATTTAAAGCTCCATTCTCCTGAAATGTTTAGCAGCTTTTCATGCTCCTAGACCAACTGGTGGGATTGATCTTGGGACAGACATTGTTTTGCAGTGGTTCTAGTCCTTCATTTTTGCCCATACCCAGATGGTGGTGTTCAGATTTGACCCCCTAGGTTACTGTGGTATTCTGGAGATTTCTTTTTTGTTCCCCATGCTGCTCAACATCTGTACAAAACCATTGGGAGAGTTAATTCAGGATGTTGGAGTGATTGATTGATTAAGTGCTATCAAGTTGCTGTCAGCTCTTAGCAACTACATAGATAGACCTTTTCCAGGATGATCTGTCCCTAGCCTGGCTTTGCAGATCCCCCACCAATACACCTGTTACTGCTGTAATTGAGTCTATCCAACTTGCTGCTGATGGTACTTATTTGTTCCATTTTTCCCATCATTATGGATTTCTCAAGGGAGATGGATCTTCACATAATGTTTCCAAAATTTGATAGGTTGAACATGATAGTTTGGATGGGGTACCTTCAATATGCTGATGATTTCCACCTCCCTTGACCCTTGCCATCTAACTCCAAGGAAACAATTGGTGCCCTTGAATATTGTCTTAGTTTGATCATTGACATGACTAAGGAAACAAAATGGAGCTCCTGTTGATTGGTAAGAAACTGAACTTGTGTTGAATTGCAGGTTGTTGTAGAAGTGGTAACACTCACTTTGATAGAGCAGGTCAGTAGTCTGGACTCTCCTTCATCTTCATCTATCACTGGATGTGGAGGTGAAGACTGAGGCAAACAGCATGGTTGCTTATTTAAGGTTAATACACGAAGTATCACTGTTTCTGAATTGGTCAGATTTAACAAGTTGTGTTGGGTACATGTTTCAAATGTGCTTTACATTAGACTATGTTTGGAAAATGCCCGAAAGTTGCAGTTGGTATAAATATGCCATCTAGTCAGTCAATTAATGTAAAGTTAGCAATTGCTAAATAAATACTTTGGAGCCATGATACCTGAAGAGATTCTCTACTCACATTAATGTATCATGACATCTGAGGCCCTTTTCAAGAAGCTCTTGAACAACATAGATTGCTTCACTGGGAGAGTTAGTTATGATTCTAATCTATATTAATTGCATTATTATTGTAGTCACTGGTTTTATCTTGTCTCTATAATCCTTTTTACATTGCTTTTATGTTACTTTCCTGTTTTAATATAGTTTTACTCTTTATATTTTCAGCTGAATATACAATGTCCAGAGAACTTGTTATTTGATAGTACAGTTAAATAATAACAATAATAATAACAAGAACAATAATAATCTGAACCAGTTTCATGTAATAAGTAATATATCTAAGGTATTAAATAATGAGTAATCCTCCAAGTTTTGAAATGCCTACAACTGCTTATAATTTATTTTATTAATCTTTTTCCTTTCTTCAGAGGCCTCCATCCTAAGTTATGATGGCAGCATGTATATGAAAATTGTTATGCCTATGGTCATGCATACAGAGGCCGAGGATGTGTCCTTCCGCTTCATGTCCCAGCGTGCTTATGGTCTACTGATGGCCACAACATCACGTGATTCAGCTGATACGCTACGGCTCGAATTAGATGGAGGCCGTGTCAAACTCATGGTCAATCTAGGTATTGTACAAAGTTTCCCTCCCCCATCATTTGGCTTTTAATTTCAGCTTGTTTTGTTTTCTTGTCTGTCTCCCTCCCCACCCTCCCCCTACCTTGATCTGATTGATTTGAATTATAACTCTCTGCTAAAGTATTTTTTTGTAACAATATTAATCATGGAGAAAGAATCTCTCCAGCCATCATTGCATGCAAATTTTATGTTACTTCCTGGTTATGGATAATGTGTTTTGTTTTTAAAGTCCTTTTTAAAGCTTCCTTTCTTGTTCTTAAACTGGTTAGTTTTGTGTAAGACATGCTGTTTGGTCCATCTTTTGATCAACCACACCCTCATTGATCCAGCCTCTCTGCGACTATTCAAAACAGTCAAAAATAAGCTATGATGATAATGACAGAGTCATAGATGAAAGGTTCTGATACCCTTTAAGAAGCGAAGGTTTTACATTTCGAATATTCCAGTATCATCTGTACTGCTTTCTGTGCTATTAGACAAAGATTAATCCTTATGTTTTAAGGCTTACTATACAGTGTGCCCCATTTCAAAAAAAAGCACCAATGGAGAATAATTTTTAAATATAAATGAATACATGCTAATTAATTTGAGGACCTATTCAGAAACCTCCTCTTGCCCACCCCAGGCAAGATATGTATATATATATATATAAAATCTACAAATTAACATTTGTAGGCAAGACAAGAATATTTTCATCTAACTTTTACACTAGTATTTCACTGTGCTAAAATATCATATAAGTATCTTTTCTCACCTAGCCTAACCATTAGCATACCTACTACACTATTACAGCCTGTCTTCAGAAAGTACAACAGAGATGCATTTCTGTTAGACTTCTTAGATGGAGTTATTTCCTTTATATTCAACGTCCTTAACTCAAGGGGACTAGGAGAATTTGGGATATAGATCTGCTCCTTTTTCCTCTGATATTATATTGTTTTAACTGGTTAATAACATTTTTTTCCTTCTCCAATCTTTTAATTGAAGGAATTTCATAGAATTAATTTCTTGGAAAAAAATGGCTTTATTTGCTGCCCAAAAGTAGCATATTATGAAGGGATAGAGAGCCGTATAGTTAATATTTCTCTTCCGAAAGGCTAAAATGTTCACCTTTTGTTCTCTTGTACTCCTCTGCCTTAAAAAGAAGCTGAGGGTTCTAGTAGGAGTCACTGCTTCACATTCTGCAGTTTTTACTTGAAAAGCAGAGCTATACCCCCAGAATTTCTGTCAGCTTTTCTGTGTTGGGTTTATGACTTAGTACCTGTGATGTTCCAAATAACCTAACCACAAAATATCCAAATGGGGTGTTTTCAGGCCCATGATCTTCAAAGTATGTATCATGCAAGTACATTGTTTGGAAAGACTCTTATATTCTCCCACTCATTTATATAAGACAGAATGGAAGGGTAGAGCAGGAATATGAACAGGAAATTCCTATTTAAGAATTTCTTTCCTACATCCAGAGGAATGTGAGAGAGTGCCCATATGAAAACACTTTGAATATTTCTCTAACAGAGAAATAACAACAACAGCAACCCCTGAACTTCCTGTTTCTGTCAATTCTGAAATGATTACTTGGTTGCAGCATTAGAAACCACATAAGATAAAGAATTGTCCTTTAGCAGAGAGATTTTTCTCTACCAAAACATGTTCCGTGTACATATCATTTAGGGCTACCATTTAAGCTGTTTCATAAGCAACTACTTTTTCCAAATGTAGATATTAAGACTACCATGGTCTTTTTTATTACCTATGACTAGGATTTTGAATCATATTTTTGTGTTAGAAGACTCCAAAATGAAGGCCTGCCTGCCCTTTAGTAAGCAAAATAAATTCTAGTAAGCCCAAATATCACATCAGCTATGCTTTGCTTGCAGTCACTGCAGTATTTCTCCAATTTTATTGCAGTCATGCATATTCTGAAGGTGACTTCCAGAATAATAGCTCAGCTATGAAGCAAGGAAGGTGGGAAACCTTTTCAGATGGCATTTTACCACCCTCCCCCCCCCCCAAAAAAAAGCATGAGACAGAGATTGAATATGAGACACGGTTTCAGAAATTCATTTCAAGTCCAAGCAGTCCAGAGATAGGTTGTGCTAGGGAGGTTTCTTCAAACCTTAGTGATAGTGTGAGTTCTGAGATGTTACTGCATTAAGGGAGCCAACTTCTAAGCCTTGCTTATCAGTAAAAATTCACATTTGATAACATCTGGTGAAGAATGGCAAACTATAAAATATTGTTGATTTAGAATACCTTACAATGGGAATCTGAACATTTTTTCTTGCCAGAAATACATAATGGCAAAGTCTGTTTTGAATGGTAGCAAACATTATTTTGCTTGCCCCCCCCCAGCTTTTCTTTTTTAATTTCCTTTCATGTCTCTAACCCCTTTTTTCTGTGATCTTTTTCACACTGTGAATCAAAGTTGTAAAAACTTCTTTATACCCCATCAGTCATGGTATATCAAAAGATGGTATTCAACCCTTCAAAGGCCTGAAGCCTGCGGCCCGCACAGCAAACAGCCCTGCGAACAGAGTGTACAGAGAAGCCTGCAAGGGCTGCCATATCCCTCTGTCCACCACAGCACCGTTTAGCAAAAATGAATCAGCAAGGAGAATGTGGTCAGTTTGATTGGGGAAGGAGGGAGGAAAGAGACTGTCATGTGTTACCACTGGTTCTTTAAGAAACTTTAAAACTTTTCTCGGTGGATAGTTGGAACACCATATTCTCTGGTAACACATTAAGCTCTGGAAAAATTAGAAGTCTGTATGTGATAGATCTAACACTACTGTTGAGAAGATAGAGAGGAAAGAAGGAAAGATGGAAGGAGAGAGAGAGAATTTAATGAGCCACAGTCCCATACATGACCAGAATTTACCCTGCTGCTTAAGAGCACATGCTGAGAGTGACAACATAGACAATCACACTAAACCAGTGCTTGTCCTTCTCAATCTTCTTCTTTATCAGATTGGAACTGCATTATGGTAAAGACTTATCTTTAAAGGTCACTCAGCTTCTGCATCACTTATTGATTGCTTTGTGGTTGGCGGACAGGGCCGGATATGCATCCAGCTTTATTCACAGATTGATTAGATATTTATTTATTTATTCAATTTATATGACTGCATGGTGATTCTGGGTGGCTAACAACAGTTAAAATACAAAAACAACAAGAAAATAAAATACATAACTGGCAGCCAAGGTAAAAAACAATCAAACAATTAACATAACTATCTTGTGGGTTCTAACTGACAATCGGACTCCCATGCCCAGGAACTTAACCATGTTTTCAGGGCCTTGTGAAAGACTGGTAAATTCAGGGCCAATCTAATCTCTTGGGGAATGATGTTCCAAAGGGCAGGCACCACAACAGAAAAGACTCAATCCTGGGTCTCACATGATGGCATTCCTTGATTCATGGGACTCATAGTTTGCCTCTCCTGCTGCTAAGGAGGAGAGATAGAAATGATAGGGGAAGGGTGGCCCCATAGATAACCCTGCCCCATTCCATGAAGGGCTTTATGGGTGATCATCAGCACCTTGAATTGCACTTAGAAGAATACTGGTAACCAATGCAGCTCATGGAGCAGAGATGTAACATGAAAGCCCAGTGGAACACTTATAATTGCCCACATTGCCACATTTTCAATCAGCTGCAGCTTCTGGATGTTCTTTAAGGGCAGTCCCATATAGATTGCGTTGCAGTAGTTCACTTTGGAGGTGATTAAGGGATGAGAAACTGTGAGCAGAGCCTCTTAATCCAACAATGTGTGCAACACAAAGTTGTGCAAAAGCTCTCTTGGCCATGTCTGCCACCTGTTCCTCAAACTAGAGCTGTGTCCATGATGGCCCCCAAATAAAACACTGGTTCTATTTCAGGTAGTGGAACCCCATCTAGAACAAGAGACAGGAAGTCCATAGAACGTGGAGGCCCTAAATCCTGAAGCCATTCAGTTTTGCTAGAGTTGAGCTAAAGCCTATACTTCCCCATCCAACCCCCCACCACCTACAGACACCAAGACAGAGCCTCCATGGCATCACTTGATTAGCCCAGGGTAGAGATGTAAAGCTGGGTATCACAGCATACTCCTTGATGTCAGATGACCTCTCCCAGTAGCTTCATGTAAATGTTAAACAGGAGTGGGGAGAGTGTTGAGCCCTGAGCCACAAGGGCTATGGGAGAAACCTGGTTGTAGCATTTATGGCAATTCTAAGGGTACAGCTGCACATCACAATCTATTGTTGGGATTAACAAATGCCTGAATTCCAGTGATTAATCAATTGCAGAACCCCCCCAAAAGATTCATTTTATGACATGAAAACAAATGATGAAAACTTCAGGAAAAAGTGGTCAGCAAATTCCAAGGACTGGGATTGTAAATGTTAATGAACAAGTAGGAAGAAGCTTTTTTAGTATCTCAGATCAGTGGTGACAGTCTAAGCTTCTGAAAATGTAAATACATTTCTCAAATGAAATTTTAGAAACTTAAAATATAAGCCAATCTACATTCTATTTTATAACTCTCAAGTATAATTAGTCTTTCAGATATAATCTCTAGTGTTTTGTCATTCTCTCTCTCTCCTTCTCTAAATCCTCTTGGCACCCAGTTTTGGGGATTTTTTATCCTCATTGCACCCACCAACACACATCTATAAAAGGGATATAGCCACTCCTGTATGGTGATCGTACTAAATGCTCAAGGGCTGTTTGCTCCCACTTTTCTGTTGCGGTTGACGACACATGACAAACCTAATCGCACGAAACCAAACCCATATTTTCTTCAAGATATGCTGGCTAATACATTCTCTGTGGCATCGTCACTTCTGGTTGGTTTTTTTTTTCCCTGATCACTCAGATTCTTTGTTTTCTGCTCTCTCTTTTTTAAATATGGATTTTATTATATTAATTAGAAATGTTCCTTTTCAAATTTTATTTGAAAAAAAACCCCTCTAACTTTAGCATAGCTAGCTTTAACTATTTTACCTGAGCCAGAGGTCAACCTTGATTGACCAAATTTTTGGCCAGTGAACAGCAGAATCTTTTTAACATGATATTGCTGAATATATGAAGAAGTGGCTCTTACCGTTAACTGTCAGTTTGTCACAACATTTTTTCAGATAATGTGTTCTCAATCCAAGAATTAAAGGAGGCATCATGCTTCTGGTCTTGTGATCAAGTATTTGAAGCATATGTTTTGCTCAGAAGAGACTATGAGTGCTCAAAACGACTTAGCTGAAATTCTATTTTTTTTTTTTTTAGAATATTAAGGAGTACTAACAGGTACAAATAAATATATGTGTCACTGTAATTTTTTAAAATGTGTTTGTTTATGGTTTCTCCCACTTGTAGTTTCTGAAATATCTGAGTGAAGTGCAGGGGGTTGTCAAAAATAATCAGATCTGCCACTGCACTGCCTATTTCATCTTCTTCCTGAATGTTGTAGATACATCATTTAGTTCTAATATTCAGGCAGCAAGGTGAAACAGGGCTCTGAAGGGCTGGCTGGATGTTTTTGTATCAACTCTCTCCAACCAATCAAAAATATCAACCCTCAAAAATGCAGTGAAATCTGGGCTGGGCGTTCGTGCGGTTAGCAGTTTGCAAGTGGCCATTTTATGATAGGTGACAAGAAGCAATATGTTAACCCTTTCTGCAGCATGAAAAATATTGGCAAGATACATTTTTTTCCTGCAAAACATTTTAAGCTACCACACAGGAAATGAGTATACACTGAAAGGGCTAAATATTGCATTACTAAATATTTCCAAGCTAAACCTACAGTTATATTCTCTTAAGGAATGTGTTTATACAGATACACTAACCATTCAAAAGACACATTGTAAAATTTGCTTTTAAGCATCAAAATGTATTAAAAGATCCTAAAAGGACTTTAAAAATATACATCATTGGGGGGAAAGTGCCTGTGCTTTAATAACATGTCAACTATATTTAACTAGTTTTTGAGTAGAATCACTCAAGTACTTTCAAAACATCATTTTTCTTAAAAAATTGAATTGTCAAAGAAAGGTACTTCTTTTCTGCAAGCATCTCGCATGTGTACATACACACTGACACACACACATAGATAGAGAAGCAGGGAGAGTTTGGGAGTAGTTTATGGATCTGAGATTTTTGTAGTATATAATGTAGATACAGAGCCATTCATGAGCTTCTACAGAATGTACATAAATATAAAATGGCCACATCTCTTTGCGTGTGTCTGTCCCCGGAAGGGTGGACTGATTGTTTTTGGATGTCTGCAGCTGTTACCTTGAAGGATGCAATTTCATCTTTCATTTATTTTTCCCCATCTAGACTGTATCAGGATAAACTGTAACGCCAGTAAGTTTTCCCTCAAGTTTCATTTTGTTCTATCTATATATGTCTATTAAACAAATTAACATTGTTTCTTCGCTGTTTTATAAACTGTTCCTTCTTTTCATTAAAAAAAATGTATTAGTAACAAGAACTTTAGTAGATGTTGAAACTGGTGTGCATTTGTCATGTTTGCAAGTGATGTATGTGTCTGAGAGAGATCTCTCTAGGGGCAAATGAATTATTATATTCCCTGGCTTCACAGACAAGTGTCCAGGGAACAGGAAGAATTGAAAACGTATTTCAGTAGCTTTCTGCTGTCTTGGGAAATGTTTTTAAAGGCAGTTTTGATACTGCATAGAAATCACAGGTACTGTATACTCTTTTCCACTATTAAAAAAATTGTGAAAAGTATATAGTTTAGGTCATAATAGTGACTGCTTCATCTGATATTTCAATACCCATTCTTTTAAAAAATTATACATGTAGATGAAGAAGCAAATCATGTTTTTAGGTGGGCAGTATCATAGTTGAGTCAATTTTTATTATAGTTAGGCAAAGGCTCTTGGAAATGTTTTTGAAGAAAGAAAGCCGAAATGCAACTCTGTATTCAAGAAGGTTTCCTAACAGAATAAAACTAGTGTTTAAAAATGAAAATTACAATTCTAATAGAAGTTAGCACTTAATAAGATCAAAAAACATATTTTTCCATGACTCTGACACCATTTCAGGCAAAAGAATCACCATAACAGGAAACAGTTACTCTTAGGATCTGAGAAGCTGCAGCAGCAAATAAGGCAACTCTAAACATGGTAAATGTTTGAAGGGCTGCTCTAAAACTTCTGCTCTGCCATCTTGATTTCAGCAACAAGAAGAGAAGGTTGATACTCCTTTAACTCTCTCCACATGCTATCGTTGACCAGGCTGTTTGAAACTAAAATTAATGTTCTCTGCTCCTGCCACTGGCTGGATTAGGTTGTTAGTTTAATAAATTGCCAGCAAACATGCTTGCTAGAAATTCTAGGAATAATAGGAATCCAATAAATAGACTGGGAGGACTCTGGTAAATATCAGAAGCAAGAAGGTATAAATTATGTAGATATGTATGAAATATCAAGTAACTAATAGCTTCGCCTATTTGCCCTCCACCCAATAAGATTATGGTCATTGAGTTTAAATTGGCATAACTACTCCAGGTGTTTGCTGCCTATATAACCCCAAAGTCCTTGTAGATTCTGTTGCCCATTCCTGTAACTGGATAGTTTTATACATATGCTTCAAAACATGTCCACTGATGTTCTGTGCTGTTCATATTACTTCAGCCTAATTTAACAATTTCCTACCCTCCAGTTCCTGTTGAAGTATTTCCTGCCAAGAGAAAATCTGTTATTATAATACAAGGATTAAAACTAAGATTAGGAAGCAAACCTTTTTTCTCAGATGCAAACCCCTCAATAAAAGTTTGTAAAATGTAAAAAGGATTGTATTTTCATTTATAGTTATTGATTTGATTTGTATGGCTGCCCATCTCATCTAAGTATGAAGCAAGAGGAGACTATCACGGGGCAAAATGCTCTTTGCATCAAACATTTTGATCAAATAACTGTTCATAACTGTTTCATCAATAATTATATAGATGTTTTCATATTTATTTAAATGTCCTTTCTATGCAGAGATCCTATATCTACTTTGCATATATTGCTTATAAGCTAGCTTGAAAACTGTTTATTATTATTTTTTAATATGTCTGTTTTAGCCACTTAGAACCATGGACACACTTGTTTCACTGTTGAATGTGCTTGTTCTTCAATATTCAACAGAAATATACTCACATGTGGGAGGATAACTTTGGAATATTAATGGTCTATTCAATATTTGTTTATTAAAAAAAACCACTTTGACATGTGTAGACAAAATGGCTAAAGATGAATATTTTTCTGATCTTGAAGTTGTGTGTGGAAATATTGGGAAAGCCTCAGAGAACATCAGCCATTTTGATCTCTGATCATTTTCTCCCCGTTTCCCTACATTAGGAAAAAGGCAAGTTAGACTCAGCCCTAGTAATGCCTTAGGTAACTTTCAGGCAAGAGATTTTAGTATCAGATAATGCAGTCACTTTATTAACTAAAACTGTAACATAAGATCTATGATATAACAATAGCCAAAATCATGTTAAAAAACAAAATAGCAGTCATAATGAAATTTAATGTTCTGTTACAATGGCCATCAAGAATTCTGGCTGTTATTGCTCCAGTGCATGACAACAGGTAAGGTACTAACTTTGATTTCCATTATTCGGTTCATATATTGAAAGAAGCGAGTAATATGAGCATGCTATTTTATGTATTGATGGTTTATATTCCCTGAGAATACCATTCTGGATTTCTTTTTCCCTACATGTCTGGCTTTTCTTTGTTTATTCTCTTGCTATGTGATGAAAACCATGAACTAGGATTGAAAAAGGAAAAAAAAATTGATCTACAAATGTGAATATATTAAAGGTAGCATCACTTTTTTTAAAAGATAGAGTTCATTTGTACTGGTAGTATACCAGGCACTTGAATTGCATAGCATAAAATGTCAGCTTTATTCCTTGAAAATGTATGTAATACTTCAATCACTTTGCAATGAATAGCTTTTGAAATAAGTGATTATGCACTAATGCATTCAATGTATGTTGAATTGCTAGTGTAGAATTGCTAGTGTAGACATCAGTCCTGTGCACTTTTATCTAGGGATAGATACAAGTTTTGAAAAAGCTTAGTTCTTAGAGAAGTAGCATTTATCCTACTGTAAGTATTTGCAACTACTTACATGCAGTGTCCTGTGTTTTCATAATATTGCATATCATAACTTTGTAGTAAATGTTGAAATCAAACTAAGTGGTTTGATTCCTAAGGGCCAATTTAGAGCAGAAAATGGTTAAATTACATCTATGCAGATACATATACATAGGGGTTTTCACTTCTAAATCACTCCTACCAAATTAGCTTTTTCTGGGAAAAAGAAAAGCCATCAAAATTCAGTTTCACTGAATTTGGTTACACAGATTTGCAACTCATACGAAGATGTGTGTTTGGAGACAGATTTTCAATGCAAATACACTGATGTTTAATAGCGATGGAATGTTGTTTTGCGTTGTTTATATTATAGAAAGTCAGAGATGGCCCAGTAAAAAATATTGAGTTGTATTTTCTTCCGTTCTTCTGATCACTTTGCAATTGTTAGTTGTGTTGTTACAGTAGCTCTTTTTTTTTTCTGTGCTTTATTGCACAAGGACCTAATTGTGTATGAGGTTAAATCAGTTTCTGTACTTTTAATTATCCCTAGTATTCATAGGGGTAAATTTATTTTCTCTCATGAATACCCACAAGGGGACCATCAGTAAGCATGACACAAGATGGGGATTTTATCATGCTAATTACCTGTTACAACAAGAGGCACTTAGAATATGCATAGGCTTGCCTTTAATTGCCTGGTAAGGACCTTTTTGCATGCGGATGTCTTTCTGACTGGTATGTTAGGTGTATCTCCTTTTATGAGAAAAAAGTAGACATGGAATACATTTCCAGCTGTCCTTCCAGATGGATCTTGCTAGTATAGTATTTAGGTGCTAAATAATAATACATTAACATAGCATTAAGGATTTGACAGGAATGTGTGAAGTGTCATCAGACTTTAATCATATTTTTAATAGATGATGGATAGATAGATAGATAGATAGATAGATAGATAGATAGATAGATAGATAGATAGATGACAGATAGAGCCTTTGAGTCAGTGTTGAGCTCTGGTTTTCTTGGCAAGATGTTTGGAAGTGATTTGCCATTGCCTCCTTCCTAGAGTTGAGAGGGACTGGCCCAAGGTCACTCAGCAGCTTTCATACCTAAGGCAGGACTAGAACTTACATTTTCCTGATTTCTAGCCTGGTGCCTTAACCACTACACCAAACTGGCTCTCTGTATAGGTTTGTAAAAAATAATAAATAAATAACTATGTTCTATCTTTTTGATAGCAGAACTCAGGTTTCTGAGTTTCTGACATTCTACAGCTCTTTTATGTAGGTGATTATAGCATTCTGGAAAGAAGAAAACTCTTCAGGACAGCATTAGCAAGCCATTGAATGGAGAGCCCCAGCATTTACCATTTACATTCACCCAGCTTCTATTGACCAAGAAAGATACCATGGTCAAGGTTGAGGAGTGTCCTTCCATTCCATGTAGAAAAACCATATACTGTAGTCATGTTCCCAAACCTCAGATGATACAAATACCAGGATAATCACAGCATTAATATGTCCTGGTCTATATTCTTCTGTGAAAAATCAACAGACTGGCACTGTAGGGAAGGAATAATCAAGCTAGCTTTCTCCCTGTGAGTTTGCTTGATTTCTGGCTTCTGGTCATCAGTGTAAATTACTTCTTTACATGTGTACCAATTTTGTTTTGATATAAATTAAATTGATTGTCAATCACTAAATGCAGTAAAAAAGTTGAGGAATAATCACTTCATTATTAAATTAATAGGAAATTACTTCAAAGTAAACATAAGTCCCATGTCCCCTTCTACTTAAAATAATAAAATTAAGACACTGTTTTAAACCAGAAAAAGACAGAATTAAGTACAATGTAACATGACTGTATAATTAAAAATTGATGATCTCTGTTCTGTCAGACATAAAACAGTGCGGAACACCATAAGGAAAGCTACATTTTCACCTGCTAGTTGTGGTGTGGTGTGTTGTTGTTTTTAAAAAGGTCCAGATGGCAGCTGTAACCACCTAAAGCCCCACTCCTTTTTTTTCAAGGGACCAGCAGAGATGAAGTTTTTTTCCTAGTCTATCTGGAAAGTAAATTCCAAAATACTGACATGGCCTCAGAGAAAGATCAACCTTTTCAGTTACTGCGTGCACGAATCAAAGGAAAGAGAGTGACACAAACTTTTTTTCTGACATAGTTTTTTCCTGTTTTTAATGTTATATCTGCATTCAGAGGTTGACAAGACGATTCTTCTGCTGTTAAATATAT